TGCCAGGACCTGGCAGTGCCCGCGTGCCACATGGCCAGCACTGCGCTGCTGGCTGTCTGCTCCACCGGCGCATTCAGCGGGCTGGCTGTGGAGGCAGGAGCGGGGGTGTGCCACGCCACGCCCATCTACGCGGGCCACTCGTGGCACGAGGCCACCTTCCGGCTGGAGGTGGCGGGCACCACCCTCTCTCGCTACCTGCGGGACCTGCTGGTGGCAGCATGCCCTGATCGACTGCTGCAGACCCTACCCCGAAAGGCCATCACACAGCTCAAGAAGCGCTGCTGCTACGTTTCGCTGGACTTTGAGGGTGACCTCCATAACCCTGCCCGCCACCATCCAGCCAGTGTCTGCTTAGGCAATGGATGCTCTGTCTACCTCAGCAGCGAGCGCTTCCGCTGCCCTGAACCCATCTTTCAGCCGGCTCTGCTGGGCCACATGGAGCCAGGACTGTCTACACTGGCCTTCTGGGCACTGCGGAAGGTGCCTGAAACACTGCGGAAGAGGCTGGCTGACACTGTGGTGCTGGCCGGTGGCTCCACACTTTTCCCTGGTTTCACTGAGCGCCTGGAGATGGAGCTACTAGCGCAGTGCCAGAAGCATGGCTATGGGGCACTGCAGCCACACCTGGTGGTCAAGCCTGGGCGAGGAACAGCCGTGTGGACCGGTGGCTCCATGGTGGCTTCACTGGACAACTTCCAACGCCAATGGATGACCCGGGCCATGTACCACGAGTGTGGCTCCAGGCTGGTGCACGAAGTCTTCAACTGAGTCATGTTGGACTGGAAGGGGTGGTGCCACCAGCGGGCTGCAGAGGCACAGGCTTAGCGGGCTAAGCTGAAGCTCTATCAAAGGCATCGAGTGCCAGATAAAAGTATCAGGTGACTGGAGCTCGCAGAGTCATTGTGTGGTGATGGGTCACCCCCTCTCTGTTTCTGGGCCAGGAGGAGGTGGTCTGGGGCCCTCACTATAACTTGCAGTTTGAATTCCCCTAACTACTCCAGCTGCCCACGACCAGGGCCCTGTTTCTATGGCAATAAGGAAGCTGATGCCCACACAACTGTTCAGGCCACAGATACAGAAGTTGCCACAATACGCCAACCCCAAATGGTACAGTACCATTTGGGTTCCCATCCCATGCCAGACCCCAAAGGGTGACTGACCCTTTGAAAAGCTACTAAATCCCATGTGAAAGCAACCGGAGGGGAAGCACTGCCCTCAGCCGATCATCCACTGGCTGAGGGTGTCGGTTTCCCCTTCCATAGAAAATCAGGCACAAAAAAAGCCAGGCTTGCTCACTGCTCCCTCCTTGCCCCCTTATTAAAAGCTATGGGACAAAGGGAAGCGTAGACATCTCTTAAAAGGAACACACAAAGGCATGGGCGGTGTGGGTTTTTTGAAGTCACCAAAGGCCTGGAGCCCTGGCTGTGAGCACTGTTTACGCTTGCGCACACACGTCCACACGTGCACACAAACGTGGGTGAACACGTGCTGAATCCTCCCTAACGTCCTCAGGCCGGGCTCCACCCCCACCAGGCTCTGCACACCAGCATGGGCCTGTGGACACATGCGCAAGCACACCGCACCCCCAACCCATCCCTACTGAGGCCTAGGCTTAATTCCCTCCAATAGTCAGGTCTGGCCAATAATAAAAACCAGTAGTAGCAGCAGCTCCAGGTATTAAGCACATACTATGTGCCAGGCAGAGTTCTGAGTGCTGGGGATGGAGACGACAGACAGAAATCCCTGCCTTCATTCTCATTTACTTGACAAGCGTAGGGAGGCAGGCCCTATTTTTATCCCCAGCTTACAGATGAGGGAACTGAGGCCCAGAGAGGGAAAGGTACACAAACAGAAAGTGGGAGAGCCAGGACTTGAACCCAGCCCTCTAGCTCAGTAGCCTGAGACAGTGGAGGCTCCCACAGCACAGTAGACCCCCTGAACTCATTTGGGGCCCTACACCCATCATAACAGCTCTCTCACTCACCAACTTGGTGGTGTCCATGGCAGTGAGCACTGCACGGTTCAGGGACTCCAGCGCAGCCAGCACAGGCCTGTAGACACCCAGGTGTTCTGAGAAGTAGTCTGTGGGCAGAGAGGGTGTTCGAAGGTTCCCGCCCTGCCCCCATCTACCCAACAGAGAATTCCTCAACAGCCAACCAGGCCTCATATGCTGAACCCAGCCCACCCTACTCATCAGGAGACCAGCAACAGCCCCCCATCACAACCAAGTGTCCAGAGGTCCCGGGAGACAAGAGCTCCAGTGGGCTTACTCACCACACAGCTTCTCCGTTTCCAAATTGCTGTGGAGAAAAGAGAAGGTGCCCTTCAGACCCTCACATCTGAGCCTGGTGAACTGGGACTTTGAACCCAACATTTCTCCCTCTCCCAACCCAGCTCAGCCTGACAAGGAGGCAACTCCTGACCACCCCAGGTTTGGTGGTGGGAGGGAGCAAGGATACTACTGCCCCATAAAACACTCTCTGAGGGCAGAAACTCAGACCCACTCTTGGCCTCCAAGGGAATTTCAGGCCAAGAGAGACAGATGTGGACAGAGGCCAGAGAGGAGTGGTCAGAGCTGGGAAGGGGAAGCCAAGGCTGGGAAAATACAGAGAAGGCATGGGGTGTTACTTGGTAGGTCAGGGAGGGCTTCCTATAGGAGGGGCTGCCTATGTCAGGCCTTGAAGGACAAGGAATTTGACTGGAGTGTCTGGTGGTGAGGTGCAGGGGGGTGCAGACAAGGGGTCCAGCCCAATCCTCAGAATGTATTCTTTCTTTTTGTTGCTGTTAATCCTCACCTGAAGATATTTTTTCAATTGATTTAGAGAGAATAGAAGGGAGGGGAAGAGACACAGAGAGAGAAACATCAACGTGAGAGAGACACATCTATTGGTTGCCTCCCATAGGTGCCCCGACAGGGCCGGGGATCGAGACTGTAACCTAGGTACATGCCCTTGACCGGAATCGAACTTGTGACCCTTCAGTCCACAGGCCAATGTTCTAACCACTGAGTGAAACCAGCTAGGGCACTCAGAATTTATTCTAAGGAGATGAGGGGAGAAGGGAAGTGAGAGGGAGGGACAGCTGTGTACGTGTCGTAGCCATGTGAGGCAGCACAGGGAGGAAGGCATGCAAACTCGTGCTAAGGCTTGTAGATGTGGGAGCACACGTGGGGTGGTATGTGCGTGTTCATGTACCTGCATCCATGGGTGGGAGCAGGCGGGCCCCAGCTGTCCCTAGGCATCCTCTGGTTCCTGCAGGAAGCAGGAATGGGGAGGGGGCACCTGTGGGCTGAACCACGGATGGTGACTCAGGTCTGGCTATTTTAAGGTCCTAGTTGGAGTGTGGTGGGCAAGGCTGAAGCTAGGGAGGCAGTGAGTGGGTGGGTGAAACTTGGCACTGAGCCCGGACACCCCTCCCCTATATCCCCTCTCCTTCTGTCCTCCGTAAGGCACCATCTACCCACGGCTCTTCCATCTCCCCTGTACTCACTCAGTGGACTGCCCATCAATGCCGCTGAACAGCTCCCGAAGCTCCCCAGGGCTGAGAACCCCGTCAGCAAAGTAATTCCGGAACTCCTCAAATGAGAGCTTCCCATCATCTGGGGGTGGACAGGGAACAGAGTCCATATCCCTGACCCCTGGCTGACCCCTGCCACCAGGTCCAGGCCCCCAAAGGCCTCACAGCATATCACACCCACCCAGCCAGGTGGAATGCGATTCTGAGCTTGGTGGGGGCCCTGGCTGTTGGGGACAAAAGGGCAGGAGCCACTAGAGAGGCCCACTTAAGGCAACAGAGACCACTTTGCATGTACCCAAGCGGGTACACACATGGCACTGGGAAGGGACTCAATAAATGTTTGCCAAATGAAGAAACAAATGAACAGCCTGGGACACGGCCTGATCATGGCAGGGCCGAGATGTCACTTGGAGGACGTGGGGGGCTGAGTCTGCCTCACATGCTGGCCAGCCTGGCCCCAGGATGACGACAGCCTTTGTACTGTGAACCCAGGCCCTTCACAGAGAAGCCACAGGGAGGCTGATGAGAGCTTCTCAAGGGTTGGGGCCCCTGTAAGAAGCAGCAGACTGGCTCCAGAGTGAATAACCTCCCTGTCACCGGGGCATGTAGAAAGGCTGAGAGCACTCGAGTGGGTGGCCAGAGACACTGGGGAGCTGGCCTGCAAGGTCTCTAAGCAGGGGGATCGGACAGAATGCTCTGATCCAAATGAGACTATGCGTCCTGACCAATGGATTGGGACAAATGGTCTCTACCAATTTGAAGAGACCTAAAGGGCCAAAGGGTAGGGACACGACCCTATTTCAAGAGGGTCTGAAGAGCCCGATGGAGGTGAGGTCAAGGCTGGCTGGCTGCCTCAGCTCAGATCCTCGCCTGGCCAATCAGGGTACAGTGGGCTGTTCTGGGTCACCTGTGGGCAATAACCTGCCTGCAGGGTCCCCTGCTTTACTTTCAAGGTTTTCCTAGACCTGCGTCTGCGACCGCCCAGGACCCGGGACAGGAGGAGCTGATTCCCTGGAGCCAGCTCTATCATGCCCAGGCCCTCCCTGGATCCAGATAGTGGGTCATACGGAACGTTACTGAACCCGCTAAAAATCTAAGAGTAAAACTCCCCACTGGGCCTCATCCCCATTAGCCCACATTTCCCAGCCTCTCACACAGGGAGCCTGGGACCAAGCACCATGTAGACCTGGGTTAAAGGATGTGTGACCTCAGGCGACCTGCTTTTACCTCTCTGGGCCCCTGTTCCTTTGTTTGTGAAATGGGGTAGAAATCACAGTCATATACAGGAAGGTACAGGTACCTACCTCTGTGCCAGGGCACTGCATGAAAGCCTCTACTTTCAGCCTCTGGCTAAACTACATTCCCTCCACTCTCCATCCTGCCAAACTTGGCTCAAAATAGCACTTCCTCCAGGAAGGATGCCTTGATTGATTCTCTTGCTTTGGGTCCCCCCAAATTTTTCTCCATTCTAGATTGTGCCCTCAAACCCCCAATCCTCCCAAGCCTCCATGATGTCCCCCACTGTTCCTCCCACTGTGGGGCCCAGGGAAAGCCACACTCACCATTCTTGTCTGCTCTGCGGAAAACCTAGAGGACAAAGAGGCATGGATGGGAGCTGTGAGTGGAGTCTGGGAGGTAAGAGGCCCCTGCCCAACTTGACAGAGCCTCAGCTGGCCAACCCGCCCCCCTGCCTAGCCTTTCCTCCTGCCCAGCCTGGTCCCAACTGCCTGCCCAGCTCAGCCCTACAGGAGCTTTTCCAATGAGGGGGGCAGAGGAAGAGCACACAGCAGGTCCAACTGCTTGCTCACTTTTCCTGCAGGGCTTGGCTTCATGGGGGGTGCTCCAGGCCAGCTCCTTGTACCCCCACCTCCCACACTGAGTATATCCTGATTTCTATCTGATGCATCAGCCCTTGGCAGAGTCCCAGCTTGAGGAAGGTAGGGAAATGGGCCAAGATGCGGCCTGAGAATCCTGGGCACCTGTCCCAGACTGAACCCCCAAATCTACTGTGGGCCACGGTCCATCCCAGACTCTGCCCACTCTCGGCTATTTCCTTGTGTGCTTGTCCTTCCTTTGCCGGTGTCTCAGTTTTAGCCCTAAGACCTGACAGAGCAGGCTGGGGTTAACCTTCCAGGACTGGGGCTTCCTATGAGGCCGACTCAGTGTGTGTGTGAGAGAAGCAGAGATGAAGGGCAACAGAGGCAGGTAAACAGAAAGGCACAGAGTCAAGACATGGTGCTGCCTCTCCCAGGGACCAGAGACTCCAGGTCACCTAAAGCGGCCCAGCAAAGGGGACCAGCAGCCTGGCAAGGAGGGGCAGGCCAAAGCCTGGACAGAGAGCCCCTAGCAGCTCCAAGTTCTCAGTGCCTCTCCCCTCTGGCTGTTTTCTCGGTACAGGTGAGGCTCAGGAATAAATCTAACTACTAGCCGGAAGCCTGACTCAGAGGTCTGCCACTGGCTTGAGGTCACAGCAGCCCAGCATAGCCTGGTTGGGGCAGATGGGGAGACTGGGGGGAGGGGGTATAAGAGTGATAAGCTGGGAATGAGGACACCTGGGGCCACACCCTAGCATGCCCCTGTCTCCATGTGTGATCTTGGACATACCCCTAACCCCTCAGGCCTTATTTTTTCCATCTAGGAAATGGGAGGGGAGGGTCCCTTCCAGCCAAGAGGGCTGTGGTCAAGATGCTGAGTCACTGGGGGCAGTGGGGAAGGGACAGGAGGACAGCCTTTCCCACAGGCAAGGGCCTCTGGGAGTAGGAGCATGAAGAGGACCAGGTGGGACTGAGCACTGGGGTGAAAGGTGGGGGAAGGGGCTCAGGGCAGTGACTAAGGCCAGGCTATTCCACGCTGGTGCCTGTGGGGCCTGCAGACCACCTGCCACCTACAAGAGGAGTGTACAGACCACAGAGGATGACTTTGGGCAACACTGACCAACTGTGGGACCCCACGGCCTCTGAGTCAGGTCTAAGGGGCTCTGGGGTCAGCACTGGGTCTTATTCTTCCAGGCCCCTCGCTGGATCAGCCCATCCAGGGGCTGCCATAAAGGGGTGGTGCAACTGCTCCGGTGACCAAGTGTTGGGAGTCTCTACCCCACCAGACACATAGATGGGGTGGGTGGGGTGGGGGGTGGGGGGCAGTGTCACTGAACCAGAGACAAGGAGGTGAGAAAAAATGAGACCGAGAACAGGAAACAAAGGCAATGAGATAAAGAAGGGAGACATAGAAACAGACAGCAGGATCAGAGAGAGAGACAGAAGCCCAGGGACGGAGGCAGGGCCCCAAACAGACCTGGAGGGGAGACACCGACAGAGGCAGGGGCAAGGAGAGAGAGACCTGGAGAGACACTGCCAACCCCCGGGGCCAGGAGAGCCGACGCCCCCTGCCCCCTCCCGACTCACATCCTGGAAGAGCGCGTGTC